ATTTTCAAATTTGAATAAAATATAGTGCGAAGTTTTCCAGTTTATCTGAATGGTATCGTAAACTTTCGAAACAGTAATTAATGTCTTTATGCCAACGTAACGTATTACAATACTATTTTGTAACCCATTACCACTCTAGAGGACGGAAATTTAGCGCTTATCGCTTTGAAATTTTCCATGAGGTTCTAGATATGCTCAAGGACAATGCCTTTAATTTTCGGTGATGATCCGATAATAATTTTGGGATGTGTGTGTGCGTTTTTTTTTTGAGTTGGTCACAATTATTAGCGGAATCTGCATAAGTGATCAAAATGGCTTTACTCAATATTAGTAATATTCGAAAAATGTGCCAGTGTAAGGAAGACGTGATGTTGACCTCTAATCAGGCAAGAGGGTGCAAATATAACGAAATATTGCCCAGGCTCGGAATAAACATCCGCAGAAAATTAGAGATCTGTAGTAGTTGCGTAGGGTATAGTATGATCGACCCCGATTGACTAATGTTCCGCTCACTTTTTTTTTTTAATAAAATTGTTAATTTTTTTTAAATTTTGCAAATAGTCTGAGAGCATGGAATTCTGCTTCACTGACACAAAATCGAGGTGGATGAAAGCACTTGGCGAGTTTATTAGGAACCCAAAAGGACTCGTTCGAAATATATATGGAAGCGCGTCAATCTGACAAACATTAGGAGTTTGTTGCACAATTTATTAAAAAATATGGAAACTATATCAAAATTTGCAAACATCTTTCTAGACTTCATACAGGCTTTGATGCTCCATTAACATAGAATCGGACGAAAAAATATATGGGAGATATATCTAAATCTAAACCGATTTTCACGAAACTTAACACACATCAATTCAGACATAATTAAGTACGCTATTCGTGCAAATCGAAAGTAAGGTAGATACTTTGGTGCTCCATTAACATAAAATCGTACGAAAATATATATATGAGAGGTATATCTAAATCTGAACCGATTTTACCCATTTCAATAGGATTCGTCCTTGGGGCAAATAAATGAGCTGTGTTAAATTTTAGGCAATTCGGATTATAAATGCGACCTGTACCTTGATGCAAATATATGCACAAAGAAATTATACCCTGTACCACTGTTTGGTGAAGGGTATACAAATTATATAGGGTCCATCACGTCTCCAGTTTCCTGCATTTTGGAGATTATAAAAAAAAAGTGTTTTAGTTTATTTGAAAAAAAAAGAATAATAAACATTTTTCATTTCTTCTTTGTTTATTGTTTTTTTTTTTGCTTGTTTTTTCTCTCTCTTCATTTTTGTTAATTTTTAATAACAATTCTGGCCCAATTGAATTAAATGCTGCTGCTCATTTGTTTATAATTAAAAGCGATTTATTTTATTGTTCCACATATAATGACTTTTTAGAGAAGAACATTTTTTGTTTTCTTTTTTCTTTTTCAAAAGAGAAGTTAAACAGTGGGAGGTCCTCCCTAACCACAACAAGAATGATAAGAATGAATGAAGGAATTTTCTTCCAATTTCTCTTATTTTATTTTTTTAGATATATCCACACTTTCTTATTAGATTTTCAAATTTGAATAAAATATAGTGCGAAGTTTTCCAGTTTATCTGAATGGTATCGTAAACTTTCGAAACAGTAATTAATGTCTTTATGCCAAAAATTGGGGATATTGTTGAAATTTATGACGGTCCATAAAATCTGCATATGTGGAAATACTCGTATGTGTCCGTGGATTGCATCAAATGTAAATATTGATTCCGAAAAAATTATAGTATTGATATGATTTGTAATTTTTTTTCATACATCAAAAGGCATCAAAATTCAGACAGAGACACTAAATGCCTACAAAGCTTACTGCCGCCACCCTCCCGCCGGAAACACAAACAGGAATTTGCCAAAAACAAGAAAATTTGAAAAATCTCGGGATATTAAAATGTTTTTTTTTCCCAGACATTAAAAACATGTAAACAAATCCAAATTTCAAATTGAGTTGTTGTTGTTGGCCGTTTTGGCTGGCTGGCTGGCCGGTGGGAAAAAGTAAACGCTCGTGTTGGTATTCCTATTTGCTCTAGTTGTTTTGTTTTTTGTTTAAATAATGTTTTGTTGTTGTTGTATTTCAAAAACAACATTGAAAATCGATTTGAAAAGATTACAACAATTACTTATGGATATTAAACAAACAAATCAATATTGAATAGACGATATTGAATTAACGATCATTAAAATCAATTAAGCTCGTGAAATGAGAAAAATTATTGCGTTTTTCATTTCATTTCATTTTCAGCTAAAACAGCAATCTGTACATCGTTATTATCATCGCCATCGTCAGTTTCTTTTCTGAACACGAGATGTGCTGTAAAAAAATTTGAAAATGGCTATCATGAGACTAAAAGTGATTGGAATTGTAAACAAATTAAAAATGACTTCTAGATATGCGGAATTTGATTGCTGTTGCTGTTGTTCGTCGTAATGTTCAAGTTCAAGGTGTACTGACAATTGCGGTTTATTTATATTGTTAGCTAATATTACACTGGATTACAGAGTGGATTATTTAGATTGAAATTTAAGGGTCAATATTGAATGAAGGTGAATATGATGAAAATCCTGATCTCGGTCCAAAAAAGAATGCACTTTAATTGGAATCAGGCACAAAAGAGGAACATTTGTATGAAATGCCATGGAATCAATCCATAGGGTTTGGATTTGATTACAAATAACCATTAATTTCAAATTTCGTGAGTTAAGTATGTTCGATTTTCGAATTTATTTCTGTTATTTTGGATTGCCAGTTTTTTTTTACAGATAAAAAGTGTTTCTATGTTTTCAGGGTATTATAGCTTTGTGCAGCCCCAAGAGTTTGTAACGCCGATAAATATTGATCCCAGACCCACTTTTAAGTATACCGTGAGTCGATCTAGACAAGTGTGCCAATCCGTCCGTCTGATCATTATAATTTGTAAACACGATACGGACCAAAGTTATGGAACAATCGACACGAAATTTTCCATGTAGGATGGATTCTGGCTAAAGAAGACCCCCATTGTTTTCGATAATGATCCGTTAATGTTTAGGGGATGAAATAGACCAAAAACTTAATTTCTGTATGTTTTTCTGGCCGAGCATTACAAAATTTTACATGGGGAAAGTGATTTGACCAAGGCACTATCATGGCTCGTTTCATAACAATCGGACATGTCGCTCTGATCGCTTTGAAATTTTACATGAAATTCCGATTATGGCCAAGGACGACGCCTATAATTTTCGGTGATGTTGTGCTGATAGTGCGGTAATGCAATGTTCTGAAAACTTTATTTTTGTCAGATTTTCTAGTCGCTCATGAGGCCATTATTATATGCAGAACGTCAAATATTTTGCACGGTGATGGTGAAATTTAAAATTCACCTCGGCACATAATATTTGGAAAATATGTCAGGGTTAGAGAGTGGAGATGTTGACCTATAATCGGCCAAGAGGGTGCTAATATCGCGAAATTAGCCCAGACTCAGAATGTAGAACCGCAGAAAGTTAGATTATCGTCGTAGTTGTATAGGGTATCATATGGACGGCCCCGTCCGACTATACAGCTTCGCTTACTGATTTAATGTTCGATCAAAGAAATTAATTTCTCAAGCATATTTGGCGCTTGGCGAGTCTACTATGAACAGGATACAAGTCCAATTGGGACATAACCGGTTTACGGAAGGTCGAGAAGACATCAATGACCTGGTCGACCGAACACTTCAACAACCGATGAAAAAATTAAAGTGGTGAACTAGTTGGTTTGGATAATTGTCGATATTGGCATATAGTTCGGCTCATACCATGCAATTTTTACGTGCGTCACCGACGATTCAGATTTCCTCAAAAAGGTCACAACTGGTGATGAATCAGGGTCTATGGCTATGCCATTGAAATCAAAACTCAATCATACCAATGTAAACGTCCAGAAGAGCACCAGCTCACACATCAATGCTTGTGCGTAAGTTGTTGGTCCAAAACAAAACCGTTATGATGCTTCAACCCTATTCACCCGACTTGAACCTCGCTGTTTTTTAGCTCTACTCAAAACTGAAGACACCGCAAGCGTTTATCTAAAGATTTAGGAGATAAAATATAAATCGAAAAATGTTCTGAAATTGCATTTCTGGTAATCCAACTTCCTAAAAAAATTACCAATTTAGTATAGCCCCTATATGACGGTACCCCAATTTTTTTGTATTTTTGCGATTTTTGGCAAGTTTCTTTCCAATTTTAGCCCCTTTTCAAGATAGTCCTTATATAACGGCACCTCCCAAATTTCTGTTTTTTGGGGAGTTTGGACATATTTTTCATCTGAATTGACTGAAAAAATTCTTAATATTGGTCCACCCTTTAGAAAGATTAGATTTTTCCGCTTAAAAGGTACCCTGTATTATCCCGTATTTTGGGGTTTATGGACCAAATTGGTTCTAATTAGGTGTCAAATTATGCTACCAAGAATTTACCATGACATAACTTGCCATATTAACAGTTTTTTTAAATGTCCACCTTATAGTGGAGGGTATAAAAACTTCGGCCCAGCCGACTTAACGGGATATAAATTGGTTTAACATAAATTAGTCAAAATTAGGAATAATTGTATAACTGTAATACCATAATTTGCATAAACTTTTTATGGTCGATTATGGGATCTATTCGTCCACTTCTTCTGGTAACTCCCACAGCTCACATAATTTCGACGAAATTGAAAAATTTAATTGAGTTTCTATATATTTCATTGATGACTACAAGTACGAAAATTGTCGATAGATTTTTCAACAATGAAATTTCCCCATCGACAAAATACTTTCTGCATCGACAAAATCTGTTCATCTACAAAATAGATGATTTTTTAAATGCCTTTTTAGTTAGAGATTCTTTTATAAATATTTTATCAATAAAATACTTTCAATGCGTTTTCTGAGCTATTATAGACGCAGTTATACCTCTCCTGTCTTAAAAAAATCTAAATAAAGATACATTACCTTTTTTGTCCCGGGTTCAGGAGTAAAACTAAATTTCACAAGTCACCCCATTGAAATACTGAAATGATAGGAAAAAATCAAAATTAATTAATTAATAATTAATTTAAAGGATTAATTTTAATTAAGATGTAAATACTGAAATCTACAAACTTCAATTGCAAGAAACTCACACACACAAACGTTCATTTCATTTAAAAAAACAAGTGGACCGTAGTCTGAACTGATTATCATCTTGTCTTAAATAAATTTTAGTCAAATTTCAATAAATCATTTTCTTCTTTGCTGTGTTATGTCTCTTCTCGCTTCAAGCAGCTCAAATTTCTTGCATATGCTTGGAGAATGACCAGGCTATGCTTTGAGGCAGTTTGGATGCGCACACGTTTTGAACAGAATGTTTATTTGACAATTTTTTTGTCGAAAAATAAATATTGAAATTTATCTTACTTGAAATATTGTCTGATCTGAATTTTGATATATACAATGTATCATGAGGCCAGGGCATGCGCACGAGCTCTTTATTATAAATATGTAAATGTTTATGTTTATTTGAAAGACTATATTGAAATGATATTGACTTCAAATTTACTTTATTTTTAATGAGGCAGGAGATATTTAAGATGAGTGGAAGATAAGAAGATGAGTGGAAGATTTTTAAAACCAAATGCGAAATTAAATTTTGTAATGAAGTTTGAAAGCCACAAAGTTCCTAGTGTTTAGGAGAAGAATTATTGTATTTTATATTTGAAATCGATTTTATTGACATCGCTAATAACATCAAGTGAGAAGTAATTTCTACAGAAATTTGGAGGTCTAGTCTTAGATGACATCTGTCGTATATAGTTTCGAATGGATTTTCTTTATATCTATATTTTATTCTGATTCTCAATATATACAATATATATTTTTATACCCTACACAACTATGTTGTCAGGATATTATAGCTTTGTGCAGCCCCAAGAGTTTGTATTGGTCCTAGACCCACCTTTAAGTATACCGATCGTCATATCTCGACTAGCTGAGTCGATCTAGACATGTGTGTCCGTCCGTTGTAAACACGATACAGGCCACAGTTATGGACAAATCTTCACGAAATAATGCATGTAGGATGGGTTCGGCCCAATGAAGACCCCTATTGTTTTTGGTAAAGATCGGTTAATATTTAGGGGATGAAATGGACCAAAAAGTTAATTTTTGTCGGTTTTTCTGGTCGCTCCAGAGGCCGCAATTATGACCCAAACATCTGGAAAATAATAAGCATGCCTATTTTGATAAAGATCGGTCAATATTTAGCGGGTCAAATGGACCATGACTTTTGTGTGTATATTTACTCCTGAATGACATAGAACCCAGATGTTGATAGCATATCCAAAAGGAGTTGTTGACCTTTAAATTGATGCCAATTATATTGTCGTATGTACTCGGATGCGGGAGTTGCACTTAAATATTTACGGGTGCTTACATATTCAGATATTATTTAGTAACCCATTACCCCACTAGAGGGCGGAAATATAGCGCTGATCGCTTTGAAATATTCCATGAGGTTCTAGTTATGGTCAAGGACAATATAAATTTTCGGGGATGATCAGATAATAATATTGGAATGAAGTGGACCGAAAACTTAATTTTTTGTGGTTTTTTTTCAAACAGGTCTACAGGCCACAATGGAAAGCTCAACATCACAACATAACTCAAGGTAAAGAGAATCTGGACAAGTGCGGCCCTCGTCTACTGAATATTAGAAATATTTGTTGACATCTAGTCGGTCTAGAGGGTGCAAATATCGCGAAATATTGCCCAAGCTGAATATAGAACCATTTTTTTTTGTAAATTTGTATTACAATTTAAATTTACTTTTTTATATTTCGTGGCTTCTCTAAATTTAATTTTTTACAAAAATGTTTATGAACTTGTTCCTTAATTGAAAACAAAACAAAATTTCCACTTGGCATAATTGTGTTAAAAAAATAATAATACAATTACAATTTCCCTCCGCAAAATTCCATTCAAGTGTTTTTTTTTTCATTAATAATTTATTTAAAAAATAAAAACACGAATCAAAATCTGACATTCACATGGTCAAAAGAATGAAACAGCCATATAACAACTGAATGATGGATGGGTGGCTGTCCGTCTGTCTGATCTTTGTGTAGCTGTTATTTTTCTGCCTTTTTAAATACCAAAAAAAAAAGAAATTGATTTAATATATCAACACATTTATCTATTTTGTGGTTCTTGAAGTTTTTTAAGCAGTTGTAGCATGTTTTTTTTTTTTTTTTGCTTATTCACCATTCGCTCGTTACTCAATAATGTTGATGATGGTCAATATTCATGTTTTCTTTGCCACAAAAGAACAGAAGTCGTCCATCATTCCATTTCATTCATGTGTTATAAAATAAATTATATTTTCTTGTGTCTGTTTTATAAATAAATATTGAAAATTAATATTCATATACAATTTGGTTTTCATCAAAATATGCTTTATGGGTTTGCGGAAAACGAGAAAATATTCATATGATTTCGGTTTTTTGTTTTATGGCGCATTCCATTGAAGGTCAAGAAATCATTTCGATTTGTGTAGGCTCTAAAGAAACATGTAAAGTCAACAGATAGCGGCAAGTTGAGTTGTCATACCTTGGAATTCATAGGTCATTTGTGGTTTTCTATGCTAAAAATTGAAATAGATCCCTGAGACATGTAGATATTGTGGCCTTGGTGTGAAAATTTCATTAAATTTGATAAATCTATGTTCAGTTTACAATAAATGTAGTCGAGACATGGTCTTTCAAACTGGAAGAACTACGCGCAAGACCGACATGACTGAAAACCTTTTTTTTTAAGCTCGGCTTATGGAACAAATGTTCTGTAACAAGTCACCTATGTAAATAAGTAATCGAAAGGATATAACCACTAGAATTGGCTAGTTTCAGAACGAACTAGTTCATTCGAACTATTCCGATAAAGGAACTAGGTGCAGTGCTTTAGTTCAAAATGTTGAAATTTTGTGGTGGATTGATGGGTCCCATCTTTAGGAAAGGTCTAGTCTTGGCCTAAATGTTACAATCTGCACAATTTGGATCCAATTGGACAATCCCTTTGTTTGATATGGGATTTTTTCAAAATATTGATCCTTTGTGGAGGATTTCCCAGTATAAGTGGACCGATGAGTTCAATATTCGGATTTGATCTTGGTTTACTAAAAATATTAGCTTGAGATTGAATCTGCTAATTTTCAAAAAATGGAATATATAACGTAATATGTTTTATAAACTTTTCTAAAAAACACTTTCAAAATAAACGGCTCATATATAGAATGACACCAATTTTTAGAGATCGTCGGAAGGTACATAAAATTTCCTATCTGCAGAAGAGGACTTTGGAGGTTTATACAGCTTTGTATCTATACAAATAAAAGAGTAAAGTGATTGACTGACTGATGTAACGATTCATCAACGCCCAGACGAAACGGCTGAAACTAGAATCTTGAAATTTTAGGTGAGGTTCACTCTTGGTCCAAAGGTGTCAGATAAGGCTGGGTTTTTAGAAATTCGTACTAGAACGGTACGAAAAGTACTAGCAAGAACTAAATATGGTATGATTTGTATTTGGCGAACCAGTAGAGCAAGAACTCTGAAATTTGGATTGAGGGTCACTGATGGAGTGTAGAATAGATGCAGCAAAGGGCTTTTTGGAAATTCGAACTATAAGTATCCGAAAAGTACTGAAATGTACTAAATTTGGTACAATTTCGTAGCATGTGAATGGATTGAGCTAAAAATTGAAATTTGGAATGTAAATTAACGTTTAGAAGTAGGGTCGATATGAGGAGAGTTTGAAAAGCGTGTACTCATGTGTACGAAAAGTACAATATGGTACTATATTTGGTACACATTTGATTTGGAGGTACAAATCGAGCTGGAATCCTGAAAATGAAATTAGCATTACCGTCGGAGTGTAGGATTGGGATATGTACGTAGTTTTGGAAATTGTTTACAATTTGGATTTGGTACAATTTGGATTTGGGTGAACCGATAGAGCTGAAACAATGCAGTTTGGAGTTAGGATCATTGTAGGGATTTAGGATTAGGGTCAGGATTCAGTTTAACAAATTAATACTTATGGGCACTAATTGGTACTAAATTTGGTACAATTTGAATTTTAGGTGAACCAATAGAGCTAGAATCATGAAATTTGGAGTCAGGATCACTGTTGAGGTGTAAGATTGAGATATGTAGGAAGTTTTAGAAATTTGTACTAAGTGTACTAAATTCGGTACAATTTAAATTGTGGGTGAAGCGATAAAGTTTGAATCCTGAAATTTTGATTCAGTATTACTGTGGAGGTGTAGGATTGGGGTATGTAGGAAGTTTTGGAAATTCGTACTACTTTGTACTTAATTTGGTACAATTTGAATTGCGGGTGAACCAATAGAGCTGGAATCCTGAAACATAGATTTAGCATCACTGTGGGAGTGTATGTTTGGGTTAAGTAGGAAGTTTTGGAAACTCGTACTACTGTGTACTAAATTTGATACTATTTGGATTATAATTAAGATTTTATCTAATTCATGATTTCAATTGATACAAATTGGATTTAGGTGAACCGATAGAATCCTGAAATTTAGAATTTAGATTAGGGTATGTGGTAAGTGTTGGAAATTCGTACTTATGATTGTTAAAGTAGGTAGTTATAGACATTTATATTAATGTGCACTAACTGATACTCAATTTGGATTTGGGTGAAGCTATATTTGATTTTTTTCAAAATAAGTATTACAAGAGTACAAAGGGTAAAAAATGGCACCAAATTTAGTATAGAGGTAGATTTCTGTTTTGGTCGGAATGGGTGTGTAGGGTTGAGATATAGAGGTAGATTTGAAAAACGTACTATAGGAGAACATATGTAATATATGGTTCTAAAATTTTAATAATGGTCGATATAGGGTTTTAAATTAGAGTTAGAGTCGGGTGTATTCATAATTTCATATATAAAAGATTATTTTTTGAATGCAGATTAATATATTATTATTGTGTATAATTTGTTTAAAATCACAAAATTAAC